TAAGTTAACTAACGTTTACGGAGCATTAATAATAAATTGTTAGTTACAGTAACAGAGAAAGAAGCTATCGTAACCGAGTAGTCTTAACTAGTTTCTACCGAAATTTTTAATCTTATTCGACCTTTTATTTTTCTCAGTGAAATTATGGCTGAAAAGGCAAAATCTTGAAACTAAAAAAACCTGCCCCACGTTGTGCGCCAGAAATGTGACGAACTTCGCAAGTCTTTAAATATTTTTAAAAGAGCGAAAGTCAGGGTTCGGCTCGCGATAGCCGACACAATAAATTGAGCAGAGATTCCATAATCCATGAAAAGGCAATCCAACCTGCGACGCAGTTCGATGAGCAGTTGCGAATCGAGTCGAGCCACGCAGATGAGTAAAGATTGATCAAACTTACCAAGTTCGCATATTGTTGGATCGCTGATAAGACGAAAAATAATCCTATTAGAAAGAAGGCGCACAACACAAGAAAAACAATAAGATTAATAATTGAAAAACATTTAATTAAAGAATAAATGTAAACTATATATAAAATAAAGAAGATGCGACGCAGCGCATCGATTACGCGCAGAAAATCGCGGTTTGAAGTCTCGCTTCTCTCTGATGAGAGAACCGCTTCAGATCGTCATCGTGATCCATGACACGTTTCGTGTGTGGCCCGATGACACTCGAATATATAATTCGGTTAATTACCGAAGGTTGCGGTACCTTATGGGCTATCGCTTGGCGCGATAAGTTAGAAGACAGAGAAACTACGAGAACAGCATATTTATTATTTACAAAAACAAGGAAAACGATTTGGATCGTTACAACAGTGATAACTTCGTCAAAAGTGAAGCTAGATGCTGGTTTTAAATTGCATTGGAAAGCTTATTAAATTTCCTATGAAATGACACTATTTTCATTTGTATTGCATAAATGGGAAGCGAGATATCATGTTATAAACACAAAAAAATAATTCAATTTTTGGGAGAATTTCTTACCCTGATTTTGACTCCTGGAAAAATTTAGAAAAGTGGATGATAAAAATTGTTACTTTCACAGACTATTTCTTGTAATCTAAGCTTTAAATAGATACCAAGAACAGCAACAAATATTAACGGGTTCCCGAGATATTACAAAAATAGTCGGACCGTGCGAAGCAAAGTTTTCAATCATCGTTTTCCTTCATTCGCTGTTGAGTCAGTTACGTGGCTGTGAAAAAGTGTCAAAAATGAATTTTACCAAGTACATAGTTACTGGGATCCACTTTTTAATTTAATTTATTATTTAATGATATTTAAAAAGTGATTTCCAGTATTGAATCCCAATGTACTTGGTAAAATTAATTTCCGACACTTTTTTCACAGCCACGTAACTGACTCAATAGCGAATTAGGGAAAACGATGATTGAAAATTTTGCTTTGCACGGTCCGACTATTTTTGTAATATCTCGGGAACCCGTTAATATTTTATCTGTTTTTGGTATCTATTTAAAGTTTAGATTACAAGGATTAGACTGTGAAAGAATCAATTTTTTTCATTAACTTTTCTAAATTTTGCCAGGAGTCAAAGCTTTCCAATGCAATTAAAAAAGCATCTATCTTCATTTTTGACGGAGTTATCACTGTTTCTGTGCCAGTGTGTTTTTAATAGCTCAAGATGTTAGCGGTCACACAATTTCCGCCGGTAGTGTACATGCACTACTATCAATATTGCCTTAATATAAAATTTTTTCATGGAATAGTAATATTAAACTTTAAGTAAAATTTTTAAGAGACAATATTTTTCATTCTTATTTTATGATCTTGTTGCATCGCATTTTGATATAGCTTGCGAAAAGACACTTTCCCGTTTTTATTTCTCTACTTCTTTAGATATATAGGACACTCAATTTTGTCTATATTTTGTACGACATTATTCCACATAATATACATATATACTTCGCATTAAACCCAACTATATGCTGAGAATCTTCGTAATCTGAAGCAATAGAATAATTTTTTTTATTGAAAAAAATATTTTTCGAAATGAAAAACTGTAGAAAAAGAGAAGAGAGGAAATAAAGAGAAAAAAATGAACTTATAATAACAAAATTATAACAAAATAAAAATGATCAATGCCTCAAATTACGAATTCTGTGGTACATTCGCTCGAGAACGTAAAATGCGCTATTCATTCAAAATTCAGAAAAATCATGAAAAACGATTACATTTTCAGAATATCATGAATAATCACACATAAAAAGTCACTGCTGTTTACTATTTGTTTTTTAATATAAATGTTTATCACACTTCATCGCTGTTATTACATTTTACTCCACAAAAATTTGCTTTCAACAAATTGAATTTATTTTGTCTCTTTTTACATGAAAAAAATTCCTCGGTACGCATTTATCAAAAAAAGATCTTGTCCATTTAGCGTTAGCGCAATAGCTTTCTTATAGAAATTGCAAAAAAAAATTTGTTTTTAGAAAAACTAATCGTTTTAGAAAACAATTTATTCGCTATTTACGAATTATCCAAAATTAGTGACATACCTTTTTTATGTCTGAATTGAAAACTTTTTCAAATAAAATAAATATCAGGAATAAATTTAAAATTCGTGTAAAAGAGAATATAAAAACATGTTTAAAAATAATTAGTTCAACTATTTTAAGAATAGACATTTAATATAGAAAATTAGAAACAAAACATTGAAAAGGAAAAGGAATTAAAAATGCGCCTTGCGCGATGGACAATGTCGGCCGTACGTCGCGGTGGGCGAAAGAACTGCGGCGGCGCCCGGCATCAACAAGAGGAACATCTTTTTTTCTTTTTACTATCTCGAGTTTCGCGCATCATTTAAAATAGGGACTATCCTTATTTTACATTGTGAAAAGAAGAAACAGTTTACGTCTTTGCAGATTTGACAAAAAAAATCGAAAGTTAAATAAATCTAAAAAAAATCAACATCAATTTACCAAAGAAGAGCTAAAACTGAATGACGGAAGAGATTACAGGAAGCTTGTGGCTGAACGTCGCTTTTCTTTCGTCAACCGAGACGCCCTTTATAACCAAAAATCAACACTTCCGTTTTTCCATCGAGGCCGACCAAAATCGGTATCAAGACTGAAAAGAATTTTTTTTTCTTTTCTCCAAATTTGTGTGCACTTTTCATTATATTTTCTCCAAAATTAACCTTCTAATGTTTAAAAAGAAAGAAAAAAATTATTCATTTATAAATCCCTAGACTCTCTAACATAGTTGGCTCATTCGTTTTTTCCTAACTGGGGCAATAAAGTAACCCAAACTTGTTTTGTTGCTGGAACGCTTGTATTTATTCAAAAATAAGCTCAATGCAGCACATTTTCTTCATTTTTTTAATAAGAAAGAGAATTTTTTATTTTTTTAATATATTTAAAAATGTGGTCAAAAAATTTTTAAATTACACAAAAAATTCTAACTGAAATGACATAGTTTACATTTTTACTCGGTTATACCAAAATATCGCAGTTAGAGAGTCTAGGATTAAAATAACATTGACTGAAAATATTAAAAAACGTAATTTTAAGTGAAATTAAAAATATTAATACAGTAAACCCTCGTTAACGCGTACTCGGTTAACACGAATTCTCTCTTAACACGAACAAAAATTGCGGTCCCGGCAGAGATGCATATAAACTGTATAGAGACTTCCTCGGTTAACACGAAACCCGGTTAATACGAAACTCGAACAGTTTTTGCGGTCCTCATTTCGTTCTTAGCTCGGTTAACGCGTACAAATTGGTACCATCACACTAAGAGTTCTTTGTTCCAAATATTTTTTCACCCCTTAAAATATTTTTGATAATGTAATAATTCTATTAATCGTTTGATCAATTAGTATGAAAACGTATTTCCGTCAAATAATACAAGAAATAGTGTTTACATTGCTATGAGTGAAAGAAAACAATCGAATATCGACCTAAAAGCAAAATTATTAATTATGGTACTTTATGTTATTTATTATGAATGCCTAGTTAACACGAATTATTTTAACATGAACTGCTAATTTTTCGGTCCCTTCAAGTTTGTGTTAACGAGGGTTTACTGTATAAGAAATTAAAAAAAAATAATAATAAAGAAAATAAAACCAAAAACTGTAAATTATTTTTTCAAGGAAAATTCTTTATGAAGAAACGTCTTATAATGTAAAATAATTCTTTTGTCGTTCTTCATGAATTTTAACATTAGAGGGTTTAAAGAATATGCAAATAAAATTTGTTATAATACCTTATTTTTCGAAGGTCTTTACAGCCTCGAGGCCGATGATGGAAGATCCTCTTCAATCAAAATCCAACCAAATTCCTATATAATATAAAAAAGATACAGATTTCTTCACCTCCAACTGAAATTTATTTTCCGATTAAACACAACAAGATATAGAAATTTTTTGGAAGAAAACTTTATAACAAATTTAGTAGATGACAAATTCACATTTGACCCTTCTATGATATTGAAATATTTTTTAGAACTTTAATGTCGACTTTTAGAACAATTTAACAATTGACTTTTTAAAACAATTTAGAAACTGATTTTTTGAAGTAATTTAACAATAGACTTTTTGAAACAATTTAGCAACTGACTTTTTAAAATAATTTAACAATTGACTTTTTGAAATAATTTAACAATTGACTTTACATTAAAAATAAGTACGATTAACATTAATAATAAATACAAAACTAATATAAATTAAATTTAGAAACACTTGTTTACTGTCGAGAAATTGATTCATTTTGTCAAGCGAAATGCTCTTAAATCCAATAATCGTGAAAATGAAGAAGAATGGTTTAATTCTCTAGGAGGATGAGAATAATCACGATTGTTAGGAGTTTGTGATGATGATAATAATGATAATGATGAATTAAAGAAGTGATAATTTAAAGAAATGAATCAATGATCATAGACGGATCAAAGAAAAGTTCTAGAGTAACTTGCAGTAGAGATAAAAATAAAAATACTAGTTGAGACTTTAACAGGATTTTGAATTTCAAATTGCAGATGAAGAAATCTAAATCAGCTCCTAATATCCCGTTACTCCAGCCGCGAGTAACTCTACTATTGCTTGTTATAAAGGAGCTCAAAGCGACGAACGAGACGCTCAAGAGCCTCCAGACGCAGTTGGAACTAGCGTACGCGACAACAGCTTCGTCCGGTACGGCAGTAACCGGAAGTGGTGGCTCAATTGGCAGTATGGGCAGTGGAACAATCCTCCTCGGCGGAAGTGTCGCGGTGCCCGGAGGTGTTCCTGGCAGTACAACACTGACGGCAATTCTCGAGACGAAAGACGCGCGAATTCAAACGCTCGAGAAAGAAGTCCTCCTCCTCGAATGCGAACTCCAACGGATAAAGGAATGCGGCGGAAGACTGAGGGAGCAGTTATTGCGAGCAACTGCTGTTCCGAGCGGTACCACTGGCCCAACAACGTCATCGGCAGGTATTCTCTTCGGCGGTCCGTCGACCGCATTCACAAGAGGACCCTCAGTTGTCACGTCACTGGTACCCTACGGACACTCCACTTCCCTCATCAATACGGCAGGTCTCCAAAGCTCATACCTCAGTGGCACAACCACTGGAGTCGCCAATCCCTACCACGATCGGTACAACGATCCCCAGCATCAGCAAGCCGTTCAGCAACTCCATCACCTTCATCACTATCATCAACAACAACAACAGCAACAAGCTCATCTTCGTCACTTGAAACAAATGGAACCCGCCGCTGCCGGAGCACTCGCCCTTCATGCGCACACCTTCAACAAGCACGACATGAACTTCAAACGTCAAGTAAGTTTCTTCATCAACAACGTGCGCATCGAAAAGAACGACACACTCTAGGAGAAAGCCATGCCCGGATCAAGATGCTCTCACAATTATAGTCTTAGTTCAAAAACAAGTTTACCAAAAAGTTAAGCTTTTGCTTAGAGAGAAGTTTAAATCTCAAACAATAAACGGAACCAGTATGAAGACATCAACGGCGAGCGGATTTGCTCTTAATATTATATACACAATTTCCAGGGCTGAAAAAATTATTTCGCGAGTCTGCCGTCGCTGATTCCTCGGTTCGAATATACTTGGAAAACTTGTCTATTTTTTGACTCGATGTATTTAGATAGACAAAAGAGAGACTGAATTAGACGATATCTGCGAAGATTTATATTGTGATAAAGATTAATTATTATTATTATTATTACTACTATTATCAATATTATTATTATTATTATTATTATTATTATTATTATTATTATTATTATTATTATTATTATTATTATTATTATTATTATTATTATTATTATTATTATTATTATTATTATTATTATTATTATATTATTATTATTATTATTATTATTATTATTATTATTATTATTATTATTATTATTATTATTATTATTATGACTATTATTAATCTATTATTATTACTACTATTATCAATATTATTATTATTAGGAAAAGTCTACCAACACAATGGCTTATCCGTGAGCCAATATCACACAAATATCTTCCATAGTCTCAACGAGTGAGATTATCATGTTCAATCATTACCTATAGAGATTACCTCTCAAATCATAAATTCTAGAAATGATTACAAATTCCAATTTATTAAATCAACAACTCTTGATAAGTTTCTAGAAACTACAAATTTTGTAGTATTATATAAACAAAATGTGTAAAGAAAATGGCGATTTATTGAAATTTTTAAAAGTCTGTAATAAATTGAGAAGTTTCTAGAAATATTTTTGTCCAAATGAAGAAAAATGTAAAGAAGTCAATATAGAGTAAAAATTCCTGAAGTGACACCCCCTTTTCCCAAATTTGCAAAATTTGAAATAAATATTTGAGTTTTAAAGTACTAGTATCTAGTAATATTTTCACGGACTATTTCAAAAATACACTGAGAGAAGAGTTATAGTCGTGACAACAAAACGCGTTTAGTAGCAGAAACACATGGAGAGCGATTGTAGCGCCCCTGGCGGTTTAGTTCCTGTTTAGTATCCCTGACTAAACTGACAGTCGTTCCTACTATAGTGTAGTAGATGCGACTGTTAAATTTGTCCGTCGAAAATTAACAAGACTGTTTAGTTATCAGAACTGAACCGATAGTCGCCTTCACTATTCTCTTCTCTCCGTGTATTTAAAATATTTATATTTTTTATTCTTAATTAAAGATTTTTGAACCCTTTTAATAAAATAATTTTAAGTAATTGGGTTTTTGCATAAATTAAACAAAAATTTATGTTTATATCAGTGAGTATATATGTACTTTCGAATAGAAAAAATAATTTTTTTTATTGTTTAATAATTTTTTTATAAACAAATGCAGTTTTAAGTGCTTTCTACACGCGATTAAAAAATTTTTTTTTGCTAAATGTTCTTTAGAATGTAGGTAAACAAGAACTGAAAAGAAATTATAGTGCAAATAAAAAGCTTTTTCATAATTTGACTATTTGTCGAGCGCTGCATACTACGCGCAAGCACCGAACAGTGGAATTCTTTTACAACTTACTGTTAAAAAATGTCTACAGCCTACAGTTTTTAACCGATTTGAGTGTTCTTTGTTTTAAGTTAAAGGAGAGTAAATCCTTAAGACATCCCTCGAGGCCGATGCTTGAGATATTAATTGTTTATAATTTTTTGTTTTTAACAAATTAATACATTTTTATAAAAAAGGACGTTTATTTTCTTATTCCGTTATTGCACATGATCTAAATCAGTTCTTTACTTTCTGTACTTTCTGTTTAAAAGTAACTTACTTAAATTGTTATAAACAATATTAATTAACAAATAGATAACTTTGATTCCTCTTAACTAAAAATTTTTTTCACGCTTACTTTTTTATTTAAGTTTATTTAAAGAATATAAATGTCCTTCTTGTTTAAAAAAACTTATTTTAATTGTTATAAACATTATTAATTTACAAATAGTTAACTTTTGTTCCGCTCCACCAAAAAATATTTTTTCACGTTTACCTTTTTTATTTACACTACCGTCGGGAATTATCGGTACGATTGACTTGCTGGCAGTGAAAAGTCAGCGCTGACTTTAAATCAAGATATTTAATTGTAGGGAAAAGATAGAGATTTCAGACCTAGACTGTTTTAAAGCTTATTAAATTCTGCGTCTAATGACATTTAATTTGAATTTTTCTAAACATTTGAACAAATAATATGATATGAAATGTTTTGGAAAAAAATTCAATAATTTTCCCATTTTCGTACATGAAGTTTGAACCCCTGCACATTTTTTAATAATGTATTGAAAATTTTGAAATTTTAGCAGCATAATCCTTGAATCCTCAGCTTCAATTTAAGCCTTTGAAAGTTAAAAAATATTGACTGGTTCATGAAATATCTTAAAAAATGTGAGAGCATGTTTTTCTATTAGTTTCAATTTAAGCCTTTGAAAGTTAAAAAATATTGACTGGTTCATGAAATATCTTAAAAAATGTGAGAGCATGTTTTTCTATTAGTCAATCGTTGATGAACATCTCCCGTTCTCTCGCCTCCCTATTCTTTCGTTTCCCTAGGGCCGAAATGTCAGTTGAGCGGGGCCTTTTTTGAAACTTGAAATAATATTAAAGATTTATTGACATATAGCTTCCATAAGAGTTCATTAACTATTTCCATTAATTTTTAGCCATGACTCTTCTGATCATTTTTTCACTACGGATTACGCAAGTTTGACACTGTCTGCCAATACTTTGTCGTCCAAAAAATTGTCTGCCAAAATTTTATAAGCTTACTGGTGATAAATACTTTTAAATTTTATAACTTTTATCCATGACCTTTATCACATGTTTTCCTTATCAAATTTATCATTTTCGACCGTCAATTCGCGGGCTTAATCTTCCAGAACGCGCAGGCAGACTTCGCATTCGGTACTCAGGTACTCAAATGGAACCTATCTAAATATTAATTTTTCATGTACCTTATAACATGCATTTTTATGTAGCCAGCTCTCCGTCTAATACCCCTACTTCTTTAAAATGCCTTCCACTTTTTTCAAACTTCCAGTTTGACCATTTGCAAAACAACCCCAAACCATAACACTTCCCCCACCATGCTTAACCGTTGGAACAACACACTGAGATAACATTCTCTCGCCTTGCATCCTGCGAACATAATGTCTTCTTTTGCCTCCACCAAAAAGTTCAAATTTTGATTCATCAGTGAATAAAACTTTCCTCCAGTCTTCATCAGTCCAGGAAACGTATTTCTTTGCCCACTGAAAACGTTTTTTTATTCATTAATCGCAAAAGAGGCTTTTTTGCAGCAATTCGACAAAAAGACCGTAATTATTCAAACGATCTTTTATAGTTGTAACACTCACGGGAGAACCAGAATGAGAAGAATTAAAAGCTTCGCGAATATCAGGAGCTGTCATCTTGCGATTTCTTTTGCTCATGAGGATAATATTCTTATCATCTGCGTCACTTGTACAACGTTTTCTCCCTCTGCCGATCCTGTTTACATATTCACCAGATTCATTAAATCTGTCTATCGTGTATTTTACACCGTTTTTAGAAATATTAAATTTATTGGCAATTGCACTAAAAGGAAATCCTTCATCTCGTAGAGCACAAATTTTTATCCTCATATCCTGGGTAATTTCTAGTCTTGGAGACATTTTTTACTTTCAAAAAAAAGAAAAAACTATTTAATAATTTCCTCACTGACTAATTATTCTATTTTATAAAAATCACTCACACAATAAAAATTTTCAGAACACTGGATATTTAACAAAGCAACTGAAATCTCTGTAGAATAATTACATACTGATTAATATGACAACACATTTTATAATAAAGACTTGTTTCTGAAAAGTAATGAATCATAGATTTTCATTGTAAACAAGAACTGAAAAGAAATTATAGTGCAAATAAAAAGCTTTTTCATAATTTGACTATTTGTCGAGCGCTGCATACTACGCGCAAGCACCGAACAGTGGAATTCTTTTACAACTTACTGTTAAAAAATGTCTACAGCCTACAGTTTTTAACCGATTTGAGTGTTCTTTGTTTTAAGTTAAAGGAGAGTAAATCCTTAAGACATCCCTCGAGGCCGATGCTTGAGATATTAATTGTTTATAATTTTTTGTTTTTAACAAATTAATACATTTTTATAAAAAAGGACGTTTATTTTCTTATTCCGTTATTGCACATGATCTAAATCAGTTCTTTACTTTCTGTACTTTCTGTTTAAAAGTAACTTACTTAAATTGTTATAAACAATATTAATTAACAAATAGATAACTTTGATTCCTCTTAACTAAAAATTTTTTTCACGCTTACTTTTTTATTTAAGTTTATTTAAAGAATATAAATGTCCTTCTTGTTTAAAAAAACTTATTTTAATTGTTATAAACATTATTAATTTACAAATAGTTAACTTTTGTTCCGCTCCACCAAAAAATATTTTTTCACGTTTACCTTTTTTATTTACACTACCGTCGGGAATTATCGGTACGATTGACTTGCTGGCAGTGAAAAGTCAGCGCTGACTTTAAATCAAGATATTTAATTGTAGGGAAAAGATAGAGATTTCAGACCTAGACTGTTTTAAAGCTTATTAAATTCTGCGTCTAATGACATTTAATTTGAATTTTTCTAAACATTTGAACAAATAATATGATATGAAATGTTTTGGAAAAAAATTCAATAATTTTCCCATTTTCGTACATGAAGTTTGAACCCCTGCACATTTTTTAATAATGTATTGAAAATTTTGAAATTTTAGCAGCATAATCCTTGAATCCTCAGCTTCAATTTAAGCCTTTGAAAGTTAAAAAATATTGACTGGTTCATGAAATATCTTAAAAAATGTGAGAGCATGTTTTTCTATTAGTTTCAATTTAAGCCTTTGAAAGTTAAAAAATATTGACTGGTTCATGAAATATCTTAAAAAATGTGAGAGCATGTTTTTCTATTAGTCAATCGTTGATGAACATCTCCCGTTCTCTCGCCTCCCTATTCTTTCGTTTCCCTAGGGCCGAAATGTCAGTTGAGCGGGGCCTTTTTTGAAACTTGAAATAATATTAAAGATTTATTATTTTTATTATTATTATTATTATTATTTTTATTATTATTAATATTATTATTGTTATTGTTATTATTAAATTAAAAGTGAATATACAACATAAAAGAATTATTATTAAGGAAATAATTATTCAGGAATAAATTAAATTAAACTGCAAGTCCGGAAAAGTAGTTTTTTTTTAAGTTGGAAAAATTTTGTTTTTATAGACAGATTTAAATTTATTAGAGTTGAAGTAATACTTTTTTCTGTATAAAAATAATCTACAAATATATTAACATTTGTATCAATAAAGACAATAATAATTTAGTTTATAATAACATTTATAATACTTATAATACTTTATTAAACGAAGCATAAAAAATCACAGTCATATAATATAAGCAAATTATCTAAAATTGGAGAAATTCTATAAAAATTTAATAAATTTTTAATATCATGTTATTGAAAATTCAATCTTTAAAAATTTATAACATTTTTGAATATTCAATAATTGTTATAAATATTTATTATCGGCTATTTTATATTTCTAATTACATTAAATGTAAAATAAGGAATTTTGGTTTAACTGAAAGTATGTTAAAACCTAATATTCGTTATTTTATGTATCTAATTAAAAAAGATTTTGAATTTCAATTCTTTTATAAATTTAATAAATTATTTATTAAATTACATAATTTATCAATTTATAATTAAAAAAAATTTAATTGAATTCTAGAGAATTTTTCCAATTTAGGTACTCTTTTAATAAAAATATTTTTAAAAATTCTTTTTTAATTTAAATAATTGGGAATTGTTTTAAAACTGCACTAAACGCGAGACTCTTCGAAATATCCTCCTTTGGCTTTCAACACTGCCTTACAAACTTTTGGCATTCGGTCTGTTAATTTTATTATTGTCTCTTCATCAATTTCTTTCCATGCTGTTTTCAAACATTCCCACAATCCGTTGATGGTCCTGGGCTGCATCATTCTTATCCTTCGGTCTACTTCATCCCACAGTAGTTCGATAGGGTTAAGATCGGGAGATTGTGGAGGGTGAACCATGCAAATTAAAGTACCCTTGCCTTCTTGACCTGTTAGGTATTTTTTGCACAGAAATGAGGTATGTTTCGGGTCATTATCTTGCTGGAAGACAAATTGATTTCCCACCAAACGTTTTCCAGAGGGGATAGCATGTTTGATTAAAATTTAGTGATATAGTCTAAGAGCTGGCTACATAAAAATGCATGTTATAAGGTACATGAAAAATTAATATATAGATAGGTTCCATTTGAGTCCCTGAGTACCGAATGCGAAGTCTGCCTGCGCGTTCTAGAAGATTAAGCCCGCGAATTGACGGTCGAAAATGATAAATTTGATAAGGAAAACATGTGATAAAGGTCATGGATAAAAATTATAAAATTTAAAAGTATTTATCACCAGTAAGCTTATAAAATTTTGGCAGACAATTTTTTGGACGACAAAGTATTGGCAGACAGTGTCAAAGTTGGGTAATCCGTAGTGAAAAAATGATCATAAGAGTCATGGCTAAAAATTAATGGAAATAGTTAATGAACTCTTATGGAAGCTATATGTCAAGTGTCAGACAAAAATTCGGATGATAACATCGAGGCAGACAACGATAAAAAGCGCGGTTCCCATGCGATTTCGCGCTATTTGCACTAAATAGTTAATTTTTGAAAAATGTGAAATTTTTTTGGGCTACATTGATTTTTAAACATAATTTAATGATTTTATAAACTTTTGAATGAATATAATTTATTTTAAATTAAATTTTTTATAAAAATAAAAAAAATAAAAATTGAAAATGTGATTTTTGTATAGAATTATTGATTTTTTTAATAAATAGATAATAGATTGAAACTTCTGAGAAAAATGTATCCTAATTTAAAAAAAGAAAGAGCAAAATCGGTCAGTTGGTTTAAAAGTTAGAGCAACTTTTCAGAATTTGAAAAGTTGGTATCAATTCTGGCGTGAGCGATTGCTGCCGCGTGTCGCTGGATTCCCCCACTCCGCCACCTAAGGAAGGTAAAATCTCGCACACACTTTTACCTCTATTTTAAACAACTAAATAGTGCAGTATGGATTCCATAATTTTTTTTGGTAATAGTGTTGTTAAGAATCTTTATATTTGTATAAAAAAATTTTAAAATTTTAATAAATAAAATGTCACGATTAGAAATATTTAAAAAAATTATTCCCCCCCCCTTGGAGTTAGGTGCAATTTTTTTCTTTTAAAATTTCAAAAAAATATGTTTAATTAAATTACTTTTTTTCCCGATATTATGAAACAAAAATTGGCTGAGGTACGCTTAATTGTTTATCGTGGGAAATATTACCTCTTTTCTGCAACTATTTTTATGCAAATAAACAAGAAAAATCATTTAGTGTGTATATGTAAAGGATAGATCTCATCTTCGCAAGTGAAACGATATTTTGAAAAATGTGATTTTTTGAGTTTCCTTCATTTTTCATACATAAAAAGAAACTTGTTTTTAGTAAACAAATGGATTTATTTAAAAACTATTTATCCCATTGGGCTCAAATTTGATACACTCTTTAAAGGTATCAAGGGCAATACTTTCTGTCAGTTTAAAAGTCATCTCATTAAAATTAAACAAATTATTAAACAATTAAGAAATTGCAATTTTTATCTGTTTAAATTAATTTTCTCATGAACAAATAATTGAAAATTATCTTGCGACCTATCATTTTATAGGTCTTTTTAAGCTCTATCTCATTAAAATTAAACAAATTATTAAACAATTAAGAAATTGCAATTTTTATCCGTTTAAATAAATAAATATTTATTAATAAATTTATTTATTATTATTATTGTTATTATTTATTATTCTGAAAAGTTGCTCTAACTTTTAAACCAACTGACCGATTTTGCTCTTTCTTTTTTTAAATTAGGATACATTTTTCTCAGAAGTTTCAATCTATTATCTATTTATTAAAAAAATCAATAATTCTACACGGAGAAACTTTTAATACCACTAATTCTTAAAACTGGTGAGACATTTTAGTATGTTAGGTTAGATTCAAGGGAAAAACGACATAGGTTATAGAAATTGCTATTGAGACTATCAAAAACACTCATTCAGTATATATTTTACAGTTCTTCATAAGGAAACTAACGAAAATTAGTATGTTGTTTTAGAAAGAAAATAATAATTTTTGCAAAGTTGGGAAAGCCATGAATTAAAAAGAAACACAACAAATTAATTGTCTATAGATACTCATAGAGACGATAGTGATACTTGGATCTGATGGTAGATGGCATTAGTGTATGTCACTGTAACTGTAGGTAAATATATTTAAACACGACTTAAGAACCTAACTAACCTATATTATTAACGCACACACGCACACGCAAGTAAAGACACACGACGATTGGTCACGGAAACCGAAAGATCGCACGATTCGTTAGAAGTACACAGCTGAATCGTCCTTATATATTAAACGAGTGGAAAAATATGTGCCTTCGAGAGAGAGCATTTTTTAAAATAACTTACTAATCAAATTACGTAAATAAGTAAAAGTCGTGAAAAAAATTATGTTATATTGAGGAACAGTTCTTGAATTTAATTTGGCATGAGGAGACATTCACGTTTATTAATAAAAGGTTTTTTTCTTTCATACACGTGTGAATTTCAACTTCGAAAACATTAGGGTTAGTTCGCGACGTCAGGTGATGGACTCGGTGATGCTCGGGCGAAATCGGTTAAGTCCGCCCGCAGTCCTTCCAAAATTGGTATGTTACGTTAGAATGTCTGTTATATATTCTATCTATATGTGGAAAAAAGGTTAGAATTACCGTATTATTTCACAAACAAAAACTAGCATTTTATTCTTTTCTAAAGAAAAATAAGACTATTTCTAATGCAGATAGTAATTTTTGTACACCGAAGGTTGCTTAATATATAACGAACTTATCATATTTTCGTATTAATGTTGAAATTATTAGCACAATGCACGAAAAATCCTCACATTCTAACGTACTTTTAGAATAAAGATAACCAAATATATTCAATATTAGAAGAAAAAGTTTCTCCGTGTATACAAAAATCACATTTTCAATTTTTATTTTTATAAAAAATTTAATTTAAAATAAATTATATTCATTCAAAAGTTTATAAAATCATTAAATTATGTTTAAAAATTAATGTAGCCCAAAAAAATTTCACATTTTTCAAAAATTAACTATTTAGTGCAAATAGCGCGAAATCAGCGAAATCGCATGGGAACCGCGCTTTTTATCGTTGTCTGCCTCGATGTTATCATCCGAATTTTTGTCTGCCACTTGACATATAGCTTCCATAAGAGTTCATTAACTATTTCCATTAATTTTTAGCCATGACTCTTCTGATCATTTTTTCACTACGGATTACGCAAGTTTGACACTGTCTGCCAATACTTTGTCGTCCAAAAAATTGTCTGCCAAAATTTTATAAGCTTACTGGTGATAAATACTTTTAAATTTTATAACTTTTATCCATGACCTTTATCACATGTTTTCCTTATCAAATTTATCATTTTCGACCGTCAATTCGCGGGCTTAATCTTCCAGAACGCGCAGGCAGACTTCGCATTCGGTACTCAGGTACTCAAATGGAACCTATCTAAATATTAATTTTTCATGTACCTTATAACATGCATTTTTATGTAGCCAGCTCTCCGTCTAATACCCCTACTTCTTTAAAATGCCTTCCACTTTTTTCAAACTTCCAGTTTGACCATTTGCAAAACAACCCCAAACCATAACACTTCCCCCACCATGCTTAACCGTTGGAACAACACACTGAGATAACATTCTCTCGCCTTGCATCCTGCGAACATAATGTCTTCTTTTGCCTCCACCAAAAAGTTCAAATTTTGATTCATCAGTGAATAAAACTTTCCTCCAGTCTTCATCAGTCCAGGAAACGTATTTCTTTGCCCACTGAAAACGTTTTTTTATTCATTAATCGCAAAAGAGGCTTTTTTGCAGCAATTCGACAAAAAGACCGTAATTATTCAAACGATCTTTTATAGTTGTAACACTCACGGGAGAACCAGAATGAGAAGAATTAAAAGCTTCGCGAATATCAGGAGCTGTCATCTTGCGATTTCTTTTGCTCATGAGGATAATATTCTTATCATCTGCGTCACTTGTACAACGTTTTCTCCCTCTGCCGATCCTGTTTACATATTCACCAGATTCATTAAATCTGTCTATCGTGTATTTTACACCGTTTTTAGAAATATTAAATTTATTGGCAATTGCACTAAAAGGAAATCCTTCATCTCGTAGAGCACAAATTTTTATCCTCATATCCTGGGTAATTTCTAGTCTTGGAGACATTTTTTACTTTCAAAAAAAAGAAAAAACTATTTAATAATTTCCTCACTGACTAATTATTCTATTTTATAAAAATCACTCACACAATAAAAATTTTCAGAACACTGGATATTTAACAAAGCAACTGAAATCTCTGTAGAATAATTACATACTGATTAATATGACAACACATTTTATAATAAAGACTTGTTTCTGAAAAGTAATGAATCATAGATTTTCATTGTTTTCCTCGGCTTTCTTTAGAAATTGTAGAAATATTATTAAATTACATTTCATTACAGATTTGCAAAAATTTCAAAGTAACTTATATATTAACATCAAAATTTAAATTTAAAATTCAAAAATTATTTTTAGTGCACTAAAATTTCACATTTTTAAATTAAATGTCTAATTCTTTATTTTATTTTTTAAATAACTTTTCTTCTCAAATATTTTCAATTTTAAAATTAATTTATTGAAAATTATTAAATTATTTTATTATATATGAAAATAATTGAATTCTTTTGAAGAATTTTTTTTAAATACAATAGAATTTCTTTAATAATTTTTGTTCAAAAAAATTAAAAGTAATTGAATTTTATGAACAATTAATTTAATTAATTAATTTAATTAATTACTATTTATAAAAATAATTAAATTTTCTTAAAGAATGTTATTAGTAATGAAAATAATTTAATTCTTGTGAACAATTATAATAAAAATAAAAATAATAACAATAATAATATCAATAATAATAACAATAACAATAATAATATTAATAATAATAATAAAAATGATAATAATAATAATAATAAAAATAATAAATCTTTAATATTATTTCAAGTTTCAAAAAAGGCCCCGCTTAACTGACATTTCGGCCCTAGGGAAACGAAAGAATAGGGAGGCGAGAGAACGGGAGATGTTCATCAACGATTGACTAATAGAAAAACATGCTCTCACATTTTTTAAGATATTTCATGAACCAGTCAATATTTTTTAACTTTCAAAGGCTTAAATTGAAGCTGAGGATTCAAGGATTATGCTGCTAAAATTTCAAAATTTTCATAATAATAATACATTATTAAAAAATGTGCAGGGGTTCAAACTTCATGTACGAAAATGGGAAAATTATTGAATTTTTTTCCAAAACATTTCATATCATATTATTTGTTCAAATGTTTAGAAAAATTCAAATTAAATGTCATTAGACGCAGAATTTAATAAGCTTTAAAACAGTCTAGGTCTGAAATCTCTATCTTTTCCCTACAATTAAATATCTTGATTTAAAGTCAGCGCTGACTTTTCACTGCCAGCAAGTCAATCGTACCGATAATTCCCGACGGTACTGTAGGTTCATTTGATTAATATAGGCATGTAAGTATAAGTACTTAGTTTAATTTCACAGCCTATTTAAAATAAGTAGATATACTTAGATTCTTATGTTTTTTAAATAAACCTAAATAAAAAAGTAAACGTGAAAAAAAAATTTTTTTGGTCAAGAGGATCAAAAGTTAAGTATTTGTTAATTAATAATGTTTATAACAATTTAAATAAGTTATTTTTTAAACAAGGAGTGGACATATATTTTTTAAATGAATCTAAATAAAAAATTATTCATAAAAAAAATTTTTTTAGTGAAAAAGAATCAAAGTTATCTATTTGTTAATTAATATTGTTTATAACAATTTAAATAAGTTACTTTTAAACAGAAAGAACATTTATTCTTGTAATGAACTTAAATTTTAAAAAATGTGTAAAAAACCTTTTTTAGTGGAAAGGAATCCAAGTTATCTATTTGTTATTTAATATTGTTTATAACAATTCAAATAAATAATTTTATGCTTTATTAATTGTCTGGTGGTCATATTAGATTAATTTGAACTGATTTAGATCATGTGCAATAAGGGAATAAGAAAATAAACCTCCTTTATTAAAAAATTGTATTAATTTGTTAAAAACAAAAAATTATAAACAATTAATATCTCAAGCATCGGCATCGAGGGATGTCTTAAGGATTTACTCTGCTTTAACTTAAAACAAAGAACACTCAAATCGGTTAAAAATTGTAGGCTGTAGACATTTTTTAACAGTAAGTTGTAAAAGAATTCCACTGTGCGGTGCTTGCGCGCAGTATGCAGCGCTCGACAAATAGTCAAATTATGAAAAAGCTTTTCATTTGCACTAAGATTTCTTTTCAGTTCTTGGTTACCTACATTCTAAAGAACATTTAGCAAAAAAAAAATTTTTTAATCGCGTGTAGAAAACACTTAACATATAACCTAGGATCTAAAGTCCAATTTTAAAAATTCAAAATGGCAGATCCAATATGGCGGACAATTTTTTTAAAAACTCGTTAAATTTGCTTGAAACTTGTTATTCGGGGGTTTTTGGTGTCGCTGATTATGAATCTGAAATCCAATTTTCAAAATTAAAAATGGCGGATCAAATATGGCCGACAAATTTTTAAAAAACTCATTAGATTAGCTTGAAATTTGTTACTTGGGGGTTTTAGGGATCGCTGATTACGAATATAATGTCCAATTTTTAAAATTAAACATGGCCGCTCCAATATGACAATATGAATTTTTAGTTGAAATTCAAAAATCACGTTCTTTAGCCATCAAAATACTTAAAATATTTTTAATGTTTTCCAACTTTCACGACGTGGAGGTAAACGTGAACTGAGAAGTCTTTTTTTATTTTTAAAATAAATTTTGTCTTTTTTTAAAATATCATTTTTTCGATTTAATATATTGATAAGGAAAATTAATCGAATTAAAACTGTATTATTCTTTTAACTCTATTACTCAATGATTTTCGAAAGGATTTACAAACGCTGCAAGCTGGAGATAAAAAAATAGTTTTTTTCAATTTGACCTTGAAATAAGTAATGATTAAAATAATAAATATACATTTCCATTTTTTGACCTTTAAATTCAAAAATTATAATAAATAAAAAGAAGAAAAATACATAAAAAATAAAAAAATAAAAAAAACATAAAAAGTAAAAAAATATATAAAATTTAAAAATAAAAAAAAGACTTTCCAGTTCACGTTTACCTCCACGTGGTGAAAGTTGGAAAACATTAAAAATATTTTACGTATTTTAATGGCTAAAGAACGTGAATATCGAATTTCAACTGAAAATTATCTGTCATATTGGAGCGCCCATGTTCAATTTTAAAAATTGGACATTATATTCATAATCAGCGACCCGACATTGTGAATTTTGAAAATTGGATTTCAGATTCATAATCAGTGACACCAAAAACCCCCGAATAACAAGTTTCAAGCAAATTTAATGAGTTTTTAAAAAAATTGTCCGCCATATTAGATCCGCTATTTTAGATTTTTAAAATTGAACTTCAGATTCGTGATCAGCGACCCCTAAAACCCTCGAGTTACAAATTTCAAGCTAATCTAAACACTTTTAGCAATTTCGTACTTTCCAATCAAATTTTGAAAAAAAATTTAAACTTCAAACTCCATTTTTAAGCCGCCATTTTAATTTTTTAATTTCTGTATAGTCCTATCTTCTAGGTTATATATCTATGTCGCGTTATTTGTAACATTTGGAATTATTTTTCCGCTTTTTCATAGTAGAAAAAAATTGAAAATTAAACGAAAATTGGAAAAAATCGTACTTTTTTTTATAAAAAAGTACCGAAATAAGTCCTCAAACTTCATGCCAAAATTTTGTCCATTTGGGCGTTAAAGGGTTAAAACTGGGTCAAATCATACCTAACAAATCAAAGTTGTCCCTCAGTTCTCCGATTTTTGTGAAACTTTGAGAAATTGTAGAGGAATACATGCGAATAAAAATTCCAAAAAAGATTTTCGAAAATTTTAAAAATTTGTGGTTGTTCAGGGTTTTCAAATTTTTTTTTGAAATTTTGAAAACGCAATATCTCAGAGACATATGAATGGATATTAATGATTTTTTCAGGGATTACTTATTATTTAGAAACAATTAAAATGAAAAAAATTGCAAAAAAAAATTTTTTTGTTTTAAATAAAAAATTTAAAAAATATTGTTTAAACAAATTTTTTGTTTATAAGCGTATGTATCTTTAAATTTTTTCTAATAGCGATATTTTGATTCCTTAGGATTTCACGAGTATTTTTACATAAAGAAATCGATGGAGACTCTTAAACTTTCGAAAAAATATTGTATTTTTTGTCTTTGCGCGCAGGGCCAAAAAGCGCACGGAAGCAAAGGCTCTGTGTACAAGGTAACGGTCAAAATTACCTAATACTCGCGTAAATTTCAAACGAATTGAATTCTTTCTTTTTTAAATCAATTAATAACATTTTATTAATAAATAAATAATAAATGAATAATATTTAAATAATAAATAATTAAATAAAAAATATAACTCGTAAATTTCAATCGAATTGAATTCTTTCTTTTTAAATCAATTAGTAATATTTTATGAATAAATAAATAATAAGTTATTAATAAATAAACAAATAATTTGTCTGCGTAAAATAAAATAAACAAGTTAATGTAAATTAAAAAACAGTTCCTAGTAGATTATTTCACTACTTTTTAACTACTCTGATTTGTTCAACAAGCCCTACATTCCCTACTAAAAATAAAATCAGGAATGGTCAGACAAATGGTCAGGCCGCCTGACCACTTTAATCCAGTTTTCTTACGATTCTGGATGGATCTCGTCAGAAATCTATCACAACTGATCAGGAGGAAGTTTAAAGTGGTCACAAGTTTGCTACTATCCCCTCCTCTTTGTTGACCCCGCCCATAATTGGTGACTATTTGAGACCATTTGTATCTCATTTTTGACCATATTTTTAAGCCACTTCTGTTTTATTTATTTAAACAATATGCAAAAAGTTGCAACAAATTAATTTTAAAAAATATACCCATATATTTTATTAATTAATATCAGTTTGTTTACATACGGAACAACTTGAAACTAATTCCCGGAATTAAATTAAAATTTGGACTCTACGGGGATCGAACCCCGACGCATGACCTAACCTAGTGCCTAAACTAACTGCCCTAACGACTGCGACTACCGAACCGACTTACATATTTCTGGATTCAACTGTCTATATAAAGAGCAACTGTAAAATAGTAAAATTCAATTACCAATATTATCAATAAATCAGAATAAACTGTTAAATAATTTTTATTAATTAATTATATTTCAATTTAGTCATAATAGGTTATGTGAATTAATAAAAATTAACATTATTAATTGAATCAATAATAAATTAAGTCTTAACTTTACAA